CAAACTCCCCCATCCCTCTCTTCTTTCCAACTTACCCATACGTCTCTTCTATCTAACTCGTTAATCCCTCTATCCTATTTAACTCCCCTATCCCTCTCTTCTTTCAAACTCACCCATCCGTCTCTTCTATCTAACTCGTTAATCCCTCTATTCTATCTAATTCACTCTTCCCTATCTTCTATCTAACTCACCCATACCTGTTTTCTATCTAACTCACTACTCCCTCTCTTCTATTTAACTCACTTATTCCTTTCTACTATATTAATTCACCCATCCATCTTTTCTATCTAACTCACTCATCCCTCTCTTCAATCTAAGTCATTAATTCCTCTCTTCTATCTAACTCACTTATTCCTTTCTTCTATATTAACTGAATCATCCCTCTCATCCCTCTAACTCATTCATCCCTCTCTTCTATCTAACTCATTCATCACTCTCTTCTATGTAACTCATTCATCCTCTCTTCTATCTAAGCCACTCATCCCTCTCTTCTATCTAACTCAATAATCACTCTCTTCTATCAAACTCACTCAGCCCTCTCTTCTATCTAACTCAGCCATCCCTCTCTTCTATCTAACTCACTCATCCGTCTCTTCTATCTATCCCATCCCTCTTTTCTATATTAACCCACTCATCCCTGTCTTCTATCTAACTCACCCATCCCTTTCTTCTATCTAACCCACCCATCCCTCTCTTCTATATTAAGTCACTTAATCCCTCTGTTCTATCAAACTCAGCCATCCCTCTCTTATATCTAACTTACTCCGTCTTTTATATCTATCTCATCCCTCTTTTCTATATTAACCCACTCATCCCTCTCTTCTGTCTAACTCATTCATCACTCTCTTCTATGTAACTCACTCATCCTTCTCTTCTTTCTAACTCATTCATCCCTATCTTATATATTATCTCACTCATCCCTCTATTTTATCTAGCTCACTCATCCCTCTCTTCTACCTTAAACTCATTCATCCCTCTCTTCTATCTAATTCATTCATCATTCTCTTCTATACAACTCACTCATCCCTCTCTTCTATCTAATTCCCCCATCCCTCTCTACTTTCAAACTTACCCATCCGTCTCTTCTATCTAAGTCGTTAATTCCTCTATTCTATCTAACTCATTCATCCCTCTCTTCTATCTAACTCACCCATACATCTTTTCTATCTAACTCACTACTCCCTTTCTTCTATCTAATTCACTTATTCCTTTCTTCTATATTAACTCAATCATACCTCTCATCCCTCTAACTCACCCATCCCTCTCTTCTATCTAACTCACTCATCAATCTCTTCTACCAAACTCACTCAGCCCTCTCTTCTATCTACCTCACCCATCCCTCTCTTCTTTCAAATTCACCCATCCCTCTCTTCTATCTATCTCATCCCTCTTTCTATATTAACCCACTCATCCCTGTCTTCTATCTAACTCATTCATCACTCTCTTCTATCTAACTCACCCATCCCTTTCTTCTATCTAACTCATTCATCCCTCTCTTTTATCTAACTCATTCTTCCCTCTCCTATATATTAACTCACTTATCCCTCTCTTCTATATTAACTCACTCATGCCTCTCTTCCATCTAACTCAATCATCCCTTTCTTCTATTTATATCAGCCATCCCTTTCTTATGTTTTTACTCACTTATCCTTCTCTTCTTTCTAACTCACTCATCCCTCTGTTCTATATTAACTCACTCATCCCTCTCTTCTATCTAACTCACCCATACCTCTTTTCTATCTAACTCACTACTCCCTCTCTTCTATCTAACTCCCTTATTCCTTTCTACTATATGATCACACCCATCCGTCTTTTCTATCTAACTCACTCATCCCTCTCTTCAATCTAAGTCATTCATTCCTCTCTTCTATCTAACTCACTAATTCCTTTCTTCTATATTAACTCACTCATCAATCTCTTCTATCAAACTCACTCAGCCCTCTCTTCTATCTAACTCACCTATCCCTCACTTCTATCTAACTCACCTATCCCTCTCATTTACCTAACTCATTCATCCCTATCTTATATATTAACTCAATCATCCCTCTCTTTTATCTAACTCACTCATCCCTCTCTTCTACCTTAAACTTATTCATCCCTCTCTTCTATATTACCTGACTCATCCCTCTCTTCCATCTAGCTCGTTCATCCCTCACTTTTATATTAACTCACTCATCCCTCTCTCCTATCTAATTCATTCATCACTCTCTATATGCAACTCACTCATCCCTCTCTTCTATCTTACTCCTCCATCCCTCTCGTCTTTTAAACTCACCCATCCGTATCTTTTATCTAACTCACCCATCCCTCTCTTCTATCTAACTCACCCATCCCTTTCTTATGTTTTTACTCACTCATCCTTCTCTTCTTTCTAACTCACTCATCCCTCTGTTCTATATTAACTCACTCAACCCTCTCCTCTATCTAACTCACCCATTCTTCTCTTATACCTTAAACTCATTCATCCCTCTCTTCTATATTACCTCACTCATTCCTCTCTTCCATCTAACACGTTCATCCCTCTCTTCTATACTAACTCACTCATCCCTTTCTTCTATATTAACTCACTCACCCCTCTCTTCTATCTAATTCATTCATCATTCTCTTCTATGCAACTCACTCATCCCTTTCTTCTATCTAACTCCCCCATCCCTCTCTTCTTTCACACTCACCCATCCGTCTCTTCTTTCTAACTCCTTAATCCCTCTATTCTATCTAACTCACTCATCCCTCTGTTCTAAAATTAACTCACTCATCCCTCTCTTCTATATCAACTCACTCAACCGTCTCCTCTATTTAACTCACTCATCCCTCTCTTAAATCTAACTAAACCATCCCTCTCATTTACCTAACCCATTCATCCCTATCGTATATATTGACTCACTCAACCCTCTCTTATATATTAATTGACTCATCCCTCTCCTCTTTCTTACTCACACAACCCTCTCTTCTACCTTAAACTCACTCATCCCTCTCTTCTATACTAACTCACTCATCCCTTTCGTCTATATTAACTTCCTTTTCCCTCTCTTCTATCAAACTCACCCATCCCTTTCTTCTATATTAACTCACTCATTCCTATCTTCTATCTAATTCACTCATCTCTGTTTTCTATCTAACTCATTTACCCTCTCTTCTTTATTTACTCACTCATCCCTCTCTTCTATATCAACTCACTCAACCCTCTCTTCTATTTAACCCACCGATCCCTCACTATTTTATTAAATTAAACATCCCTCTTTTCTATCTCAGTCATTCATCCCTCTCTTCAATATTAACTCACCCATCCATCTTTTCTATCAAACTCACCCATTCCTGTCTTCTATCTGACTCACTCATCCCATTTTCTATCGAACTCACCCATCCCTCTTTTCTATCTACCTCAATCATCCCTATCTTCTTTATTAACTCACCCATACCTCTTTTCTATCTAACTCACTCATCCAACTCTTCTATATTAACTCACTTATCACTATCTTCTATCTTACTCACTCATCCTTCTCTTCTACCTTAAACTCACTCATCCCTCTCTTCTATATTAACTCACTCATCCCTCTCATCTTACTAACTCACCAATTCTCTCTTCTATCTAACTCAATCATCCCTCTCTTCTAAAATTAAATCATTCATCCCTCTTTTCTATCTCACTCATTCATCCCTCGCTTCCATATTAACTCACCCATCCCTCTCTTCTGTCTAACTCACCCATCCCATTTTCTATCGAACTCACCCATCCCTCTCTTCTATCTAACTCAATCATCCCTCTCTTCTATCTAACTCACGTATTCCTTTCTTCTGTATTAACTCACTCTTCACTCATTTCTCTATAACTGACTCATCACTCATCAATCTAAGTCACATATCCCTCTCTTCTATATTAATTAACTCATCCCTATCTTCTATATTAACTCATTCATCCCTATCTTCTATCGAACTCACTCATCTCTCTTTCTATCTAACTCACTCATCCCTGTCTTCTATATTTACTCACTCATCCCTGTCTTCTCTATTAACTCACTCAACCCACTCTTCTATCTCAGGTCTGCTACCTCAACCTCCTAATCCCTCTCTCCCTCATAACTTACAGGATGATAGAGAATATCCATGAAATACTACCGTCAAATTAGGTACCTGCGTAAATACTAAACACCCGCTGACGACACATTATATGTTACACACAGATCCTATATGTACTTTTAGAAATCTGACAATTGAATAGGACCTAATGATCCAGCATTATCTTAAAATCCAAGTCGTGGACCTCTCAACTACAATTTACTCCCACGTTTATCGCAGAGATAAAACACATAGATATAATCTATATATAGGTTAGAAAAGGTTAAAAAAAATTACAAAGGTATTACTTGATACCGCTATTTTCATTCTGAAAAAGTATATTTCCTGCTCAAAAAAAGTGTTTGTAACCTAAACATTATGTGATCTTTCTAAAGAAGAAAATACTGTGTAATCACAACAATCCAGGTTAAAAATCAGTGATAAGTATACGGACCTGGATTTCTTAACCTCACAAGAACCCTTATAAACATCGTTTTATTGCTCGCTCGTCCAGCTGTTCAACCCACCCTTTTTCAAAGCTACTAACCATTATTCTTGGCGGTATCAAATGTGTTTTGTTTTATCATGAATCAAGTCACTTCCAAATTTGCATGGTTTTGCACAGTCTAATGTCCAAAGCCATTTTCATAGCTTGCCAATCAACATTTGACCCGAAGACCGTTCTGTCAAATCTCGACGCTTATTCTTTATGTCCGTTTTCTTGTTGTCCTTTACTCAAATATTGCTAGATTAACGTTGCCTTTGTTTAGTTTTTTAATTTCTGTTATGTATCACGGTTAAATGCCTCGAGACTCCTTGTCACAAGTATTAGGATGGTAGTTAACCTTACGCCCTGTTGTCATATACGTTACGATCAATATGTATGTCTCTACCTCATTAAGTGAAGGAAGAACGTCATCATATTGATGATTTATATCTTTCAGATTTCATACTACCAGCCTTCGTTTGCAGTCTTGTACTGAATGTCGTGTGCCTGATCGAGAATTTTTGGAATTTTTCGGAAAACCATCATGGATCAAATTATCTTCAGCCTCAAGCTTATAGCTATCTTTGTCCGTTCTTTAGAGGGGGGCTTGGAAACCTGATGTTCATGTATGCCTCAATTTATGGTATGGCAAAAGAGAAGGGCATGGGCATTGGAGTGTATAAAAACATGGAGTTGTATAGAATGTTTAATATCACTGAGAAAGCTATTAAAGATACACGTATATGTGATAAGGCAGTTGAAATTTACGAATACAGACCATGTGCTTATGACGTAGCTACGACCGGGTTTACGTCATCAAAGAATATCAGGCACAAATCATATCTTCAATCTTGGAGATACTTTGAAGATATCGAGGAGGATATTCGAGCGCAGTTTGTTTTTAAAGATTTTATAAAAGCGAAGGCGGCAGATATTCTTCGCCGGGCAGTCGCTACTTATATAAAGCAATATCCTTCCTTGCAATCCAGCGTTGGAAATTTAACAATAGTAGGCGTTCATATCAGAAGAGGCGATTATTTGAAGAAAGACAAAATTCAATATGGTTATGAGGTAGCTTCTTCTGCTTATGTAGAAAAGGCCTTACAGTATTTTAGAGATAAATATAACAATACGTTGTTTCTAATTTTCACTAATCCTAATCCACCGGATATCAAGTGGTGTAAACAATATATAAACGGAAGTGACGTTGTACACATGAAAGCAAATGCGCGCGAAATTGACATGTGTGCTATTTCACAATGTAACCATACTGTTATGACGGTTGGCACATTTGGCTGGTGGGCTAGCTGGATAAATAAAGGAGAGACAATATATTACAAGGATGTTGCAACACCTAAAAGTTCATTATTGGATGATTTCAGTCAAGATATGACAGATTACTTTTATCCCGGCTGGATAGGGATGGATTAAATAATTGACGACTATGACTTAAACCACAAGTAAAATCGTATGTTGTCGTGAAGCGCAATTTTCATCTCGTGTACATTTGATTCCATGCACATTTATTTTCGTGGATTAAGAGTTCCCACGAAATTAAAGAAAATATATTGCCCACGTAAATTAGTTATTTTACGGTATACACAAACCAATGACGACACCAAGGAATTTCTAACTTGATACAAACTGGTTTACGTCATATGAGATATTTCATACATGATAAAACAAGATAAATATATACATGAAGATAGATATCAAAAACATGTATTTTATCTATATAACAAGGTCTCCCGATATTAAAACGGTTCTTCATTTGGTTCTTTATACCTTCTTGTTTTTCTTTTGTCTAAAGACGAATTCAATTTTATATACGAAAGAGCATTGCGTTTTGAGTCTTGGTAACATTTGGGAGTAATAATTTTGGATTTTTTGTACTTGTTTTATCTTACAGCACTTGATAATAATTGATATTGAAATTCTATTTTTGTCGTTGACGTCAATAAAAAGAAGCAAAAATAATCTAGTTGTTTTTAATGGAAAACAAAAAACGCTTTAGAGCATGCAAAATGAACGTACCACTTTTGATGTCTTGCCAAGTAAACACACAAAGATCACCTAGGTATGACAGACTGATGAGAAAATGGACTTTTGATGAAATGAACACACAAGGTAGGCAATGTCGAAAATGCAATGATATTTATTCTTGTAATGTTCACAGAAGCCTAAATAATACTGAGGTTAATAGAGGAGATATTTACACTAAGACGACTTGAAACGTATAAGGACAATAACACCCGGTGTTCCGCAAGGGTATGCGTCTTGTGATTCATTGTAAGTAATCATTGTAAGTAATGTCAAGCCCTTGAATTGGAACAACGGATTCACCAAACAAACTAAAACTATAGAGCATGCCTTTAACGATGGCGGTGTTTATATCAAAAGGTAATTAAAATTTCAAAACCTTCTATATTATAAATTCATAAAAAATATATACCAACATAGTAACAGTTAAGAAAGTAGGCAATAAAATCATCGACTATTAGTCTCAACGGGAATCGGAGGACAATAGGGTTACGTGGTGTCCGTCGATCTGTCTCACCTTTCCTTGTCGGGCTCGCCTACCCTACTTGTCACTGGAACTTTATACATCTGACATAGGTAGATCTAGTTTAGACTGTATGTCCTGAACAAAAAGTAGGCCACTCCGTTCCACATTTTGATACTTGATAAAAACAAAATAAAATGATTGCCAATGAGTTCAATTTCAACACTTCTTATCACTGAAAATTTGTATTCGGAGTATGTGCTCACCTTGACCTCTATTTTGACCTTTTACCTAAAATAGGAATGTAGTTGATACCATCGATAAAGATTAAATGTATTTAATCTTGGACTTAAACAGAGAACAAACGTGAAACTGGGTTAAAATGTAACAACTTAGTGCGTAATCAATATTATAAAGACGATAGTACTGGAACAACCTTGGAGAGCATTATCGTGAGGAAGTTTGTTTTGAGTGTTAAACAAACATAAAAAGGGGGGCTTGTGTGACCCTATAACTATATGCTATATGAAATGGAGTATTTGAAAACATAATTGTATAGTTCTCTTGTAAGGACGTGTTAGGAGAATATACAATTTGTTAACCATTGCCAAATTGATTAAAATATTTTTGAAATGATATAAACGAAATTAAAATCGATAAACGGTAAATTCTCCATCCCAGGAAATGTAGACAGCATTCATATCTTAAACGACAGTCTTTGATATGATAGTTTTCCATTAAGTTGGAACTCTTCATCTTATATAACTCTTCACAAAAATGATATATTTGCATTAAGACAAGGCTGTCAATTTTAATTCCTACTTTTAAATAATGATATATTTACAGTAAGACAGGGCTGTTATCTTTAATTGCTACTTTTATATGATGATATATTTGCAGTAAGACCGGGCTGTCATATTTAATTGCTACTTTTAAATAATGATATATTTGCAGTAAGGCAGGGCTGTCATCTTTAATTGCTACTTTTATATGATGATATATTTACAGTAGGACAACAGTAGGCCTCTCCTCCTGATATCTTACTTTGATATAATGATTTTTTTAGACAGTTTAAAGTCATATATCAAAATAAATTTAAAAAATCAATAAAAAAGTGGAAACATAATGTTACACCTGATAATCAACAATCAACATTAATAATAAGCAACGGGACTCGGCACATTGATAACACAGTAATATACTGTATACAGTAATACAGTAATACATGACTATATGATATATATAATATGTTTAACAAAATGACCGCCGTAGAAGGTGACGCGGAACATCGCCTCCAAAAAGAAACTCGCAATGTGTGCACTAGTAGCCAAGGTTTTTATTCTGATCTGAGACCAGCAATGATGCAAGATGATGATAGTAATTTTCATCATGATTTCGAAGGAATTAGTGAAGAAACATTTGTAAAAGAGAGTGTAAGTGTTCAAAATGCCATGGGTGACTCTGACCCGATGTATCCCCCGACCCAAGATGTCCATGTCGATTTGGTTCATTGTGCCCCACAGGCCCATTCCCCTGTATCACGCTAGTCAGCAAACCATAACCGGTCACACAATCAAGAGCTAATCGATTATATAGCCAGTAAAATTATCAATATCTCAACAGATGAATATGTCAAGAAAATTACTGAGATATTTGAGCGATCAGAGGGGACTGTGATTTGGTATAGAACATTTTACTTGGCCGAGCGATGATGTTGGTACTGAAATTGAAAACAACATCATAATTCATTCCGTCTGTGAACGTCTGAAAACAGTAGAAAATGCACTGAAAGACAGTCAAGTGAGAGAGTGCCGAATGCTGAAATTAACGGCGGAAATGAAAAAAGACAATACACATCTTGCTGACACTGTCATAGAACTACGAAATGCACTAGCATGTCTCAGTCGTATTCGGAAGTTTTGCGGGGCAACAGTGAAGGTAAAACTCATGCAAGGAGCCCCAGTATACCACTGGCTCAAATTCCTAACGGGACCGTCTTACCTGGCGAGTGTTTGAGCGATACTACTTTATCTGTCACGAGTAAACAAGGACACGTGAGTGACTCTACGGAAGCCAGTACAGATCATGTTGACATGGAAGTACTGACCCCTCAAAAAACCCACGACATCACCGTCAAATAGTAAACTTAGGCCATCTGGTAACGATGGGCCACTTGTAGACACCAATCGAACAGGTGCGACTAAGTCAACAAAAACCACTAGAAACAATGTATCAACAGTGAAATCAAGTCAAGGCGCCAAAGAGGACAATGACGTGTTTATTGGCGTTCACCGTAAACAAACAGCGCGTTACTATTTAAGTGGAATCAGATCCGAGAGTACCAAAAATGGTATTCTCAAATTCGTTCAAATCAAAGGAGTAAAAGTTACTGACTAAAGAATGTTCGAACAGCGTAAGGGTTCCTTTACGGCAAAAGTTAATGTTTCCGCAGCTCATGCTTACTAGGTAGACAGTCCGGGTTTCTAACCCAACAGTGTTTCTTGCAGACCTTGGCTTAGCAGCAAAGAATGGCAAGAAAAGCTAGACGAGCGTAAAAATGACTTCAGTAAAAACCCGAACACAGACGATTACGGATGGCGTAATGACAATGAAGACTATTACAGCAATTACGACCACGATTCTGAAAATCACTGGCGTTACAACGACCGCCATTTGTGAAAAGCACCAGTCTTAATAAAACAATACGTTACGAACTGTGTTATGTTTTTACTTCATGGCCTTCTCCATACTTACATTGAATGTTCGAGGAGCGTTCTCATCAGCAAAAGGTTTGTTTGTGCTATCAAAGCAATCGAACTGTGACCTCGCCGTTATAACCGAGCATAAACGGAGTCATAAATCATTAACTTTTTTGGACACGATAAACTCTGATTATTATGCAATCAACGCAAATACTGTCGAATGTTCTAGTGATGGTATTGGTGTCTCGTTCTTGGTGAAAAAGTCGTTATGATATAGCATTTGCTCCTTAGAAGAAGTAGCTGCCATCAAAATGACAACGGTTTCCGGACAATCCGTTTACATTTTTGGAGTTTACATGCAAAGTGACAATGACGTTAAAGAGTATAAAGACACTCTGCAGTATCTATGTGACATACTTACCTTCTACTCACTAAGAGGAAAAGTTGTAATAGCCGGTGATTTTAACGCACGTATACAGGAAGATCCCCAGTATTACGCGGCGAAGCAGAAAGCCAGTGCGTTAAACGACGTTATAAACGTTTGCAAATTGCAAAGGGCCGAAGTATACATTTAGACCTTGCGAACTACTTTAGATTATATTCTTGTTGATGAAACTTCACTTAGCAACATATACTATAGTATTATCTCAGACAGTGCCGATATTGAGATCGCTTCAGATCACCTGCCAATCGTTGGTGTGTTTGATTTCAGCGTTCCAAATCACAAAACACATCTGAAAGATAACGCGGACCATATTGCGTGGAGCAAAGCACCCTTTGATCATCTAATTTCATATCAACTAGCCCTTGCAAATAAGCTGCGTAATATTCATGAATATGACATGTCGACACAGTTAGGTATCAACGCATTATATGAACAGTTGACCCTATGCATGGCAGTAGCAGCACATTGGACACGCAAACTAGAAAGTGCTCTTAATACAGCCCTAAGGTACCGACAAGTGTGGTCTATGAAAACAGACCCCGTGGCTACAATATGATTTATATATGAACTATAAAAACGCAAAGAACGTCTTTCCGAACCCGCATAGAGAAACCCACGATAGATATCTGGATCAAGTTAATAGTGAGCTAGACGAGGCAGCGGGTGTGGATGCTAGATTATTCTGGAAAATTGTGTGGAAGCGCAAAGCCAAAACACCCGATGCCTGTACGGAACTAGTCTTCGAGGGAACACTCGCTCGTGACCCCCAAAGCATAGTCGA